ATTTGGACAGCAACGAGCTCATAAACCAGACAAAATACATAGCAGCAGTCGTTTTTTACCTTCACAGTATAAGCATAAAAATGTTAATAAAGTAACAACAAATATCTATTAAATCTATAAAGTAACAAATACATAAAGCTATTATACAAATACAAAGCTATTATTTCAGTCATTCTTAATGTGTCAAGCATCTATATGCCAAAAACTATGGTTTTTATCATTAAATGAAGATGTAGACTAAAGATACTTTGCGGGCTTTACATCATAACCAGGTTTCATTCGCCTGGGCCCCTGGGCAGTTGTCCCCTTACTGTAGTTCACTGATAGCATTAGAAAAGGAACTTTATTCTATGTCCAGTAACAGTCAGAAGTCCACTGGTAACATCACTAAATGAACTCTCTCTTCTACCTCCAGTAACAGCCAGAAGTACACTGGTAACATCAGTTAAGGGACTCTCTTCTACCTCCAGTAACAGCTAGAAGTCCACTGGTAACATCAGTTAAGGGACTCTCTTCTACCTCCAGTAACAGCCAGAAGTACACTGGTAACATCAGTTAAGGAACTCTCTTCTACCTCCAGTAACAGCAAGAAGTACACTGGTAACATCAGTTAAGGAACTCTCTTCTACCTTCAGTAGCCAATCTCCTTATAAGTAGTCAATACATAGTACTCTGCTGTCAAAATTCAATCTAGACAATATTTCACATCAGGACACCAGTGACACTATAATAACAGCATTCTTCAAATTCTAGGAGAAGTTATGTTAACTTGTTTCATACCTACTGTTTGCACACTTTGGATCAGCCAGTCTCTGAATTTCAATGGAGCTGAGACCCATTTTCCGTTGCTTCTTAGGTCGATAATGAAGCTTACTTTTCACATCCTCTACAGAAAATAATTAGAATACATAGAAAATTTCAACTGGATAGCAGACTAAAAACATGTCATAATTTACTTGATTACAAAATTTATGCTCAAAATATACAAAACCTAAGTATATTTGTCAAGCAAAACTATGTATGAATGTCTACCCAAAGCTTCACTAGTTTTAATAGAAAAATTTTAATGATGTTCAAAACCTAGTGGCAAATGTACAAAAAACAATCTGAGGAAAATGTATCTGAATGTTTTCATTTTAAGTTTCTTACTGTAGAAAATGCAAAAACGGAGATTTCATTTTACATTTTGTGAAACTGAAGTACATTTTGAGTTTGAATAAAATCATAATCATACTGTGAAATAATTTAAAAGACATTATGAAATTTAATACTATTAAGCTTTTTTAGTATACACTAGAAGTAAAAACAGAATATTTAGCTTTGCTTCAGCCTCAATAAAAATCCTCAAGTTCATTGGCTTACATTCACAGATATGGTATC